GGAGGAAAGGGTTTATTTGTCTTACATCTCCCAGGTCGCATGCAGTTCATCTGGGAGCCCAAGGTAGGAACTCGGGGCAGGAACTTGGAGGCAGGAGCTGGAGCACAGGCCATGGAGGAACACTGCTTACAGCCTTGCTCCCCTGGCCGCTGCTCAGCCTGCTTTCTCATGCAACACAGGCCCACCTGCCCAGGGGTGGCACCACCCACAGTGGGCTGGGCCCTCCCACATCACTCATCAAGAAGATGCCCTTCAGACATGGCCACAGGCCAGTCCAATAGAGGCAATTCCCCGACTGAGGCTCCCTCAACCCAGATGTGTCAAGTTGACAAGGGGGCAATTGGCCTGGATAGCTTTAGTGTCAACTTGACACACAAACACATCACTATTAAACCATAAGCTTTCCAATTCTTGTCCCCAAGCTATGATGTTAACATTAATATCACAACATAAGACAGTACAACCTTAAAAACCCCACAGTCCTTAAAAAAAAATCCAACACTTAAAAGTCCATAGTCTCTTTTAAAAGTCTCAACTGTGGGTGGGCTTCTGTAAAATCCAAAACAAGTACTGTCTTATTTCAAAGGGAAGAATCGTGCACACCTAAGCAAAACCAAAGTCCAGCAAAGTAGCTCAAGGCTGGACATCTGGGATTCACTCACGATCTTCTGCCTCCAAAGGAGACTGGCAGCTCCACTGCTCTGACTCTGCAGTCCACAGCACACTCAGCTCATCTCGCAGACCCAGGCCAGCTCCATTCCACCCCTGCCGCTGTCCTTGGTGGTTGTCCCATGGTCCCAGCATCTCCAAAAAGCTGGGGCTGCCACTGAAACTGAGGCTACACCTTCACCAATGGCCTCTTCTTGCCTCTTGGGGTGCAAAGATTCAGTTTCTCTCCATGACCCCTTCAATCCTGGGGTCTTTGCTGCAACTGAGCCTGCACTTTCCCCGTTGGCCTTTCCTGGCCTCTCAGAGTGCCAAGCCTCAGCTGCTCTGTGACCCCTTCATGCTTTCAACACCAGAACCATGCAGGAGACTCTCTTACACGTTACCAAATCCTGCTTCCAGCTTGAAATAGAGGTGCGGGTCCCCTCTGTGTGCTGACCCTGAGGAAATACCTCCCAGAAGACTCCACCCCAG